GGTTGGTATGACTAGTCCCATTTTCAGGTAGGGGGATACTGAGGCACAGAAAGATTAAGGGATTTGCCACCACCATGCTTTGAGCCATATCAAGGTCTGGTTCAAAGAAATGAGTTTCTGAAACCTGAACTTGGTGTCTAATCAATACACCCCACTCCAAGCCTACGCTTATCTATTTTAGAGTCCATTTACAGTCAAAGCTGCTATGATCCTTTTATTTCCAAGGAGGGACTACCAAAGAATGTGATCAATGAAAATAGTTACTGGCTTGGCTCACTCGTAAGAAGGTAAAAGCCTGAGCATTCCCAGGGTCAGCAGAGACCTTGACTATCTTCTAACTATATCTGATTAGTTGTTTTGTGTTTTCAACCATTTGAAGGCCACAAACCCATTAAGAAGTTCCTGTTGCCTGCAGTAAAGAGTAGCCAAGGAAAATGAAGATAAGATTTCCTATCTAGGAGTTGGGGTTGGGATAGAGACATCTTCAGTGAGTTAAATGTGAGACCTGACAGGGTGATGTCTGTTTATGGCTCACTCCCTTTTTCCCTACCTGCCCCAACTGGCAGAGCACTGAGGTGCAGAAGACCTCTAGGAAACACTGGGCTTGGGGTATTATGATAAAGTCCTTTGGCCCATACTTTGCATATATTGAGGCATGATGAGCTATTAGCATAATCCAGTGTTTCTCAACTGGCAGTGGTTCTGCCCCCCAGGGGTCATTGGGCAATGTCTGGAGACATTTTTGGTTGCCACACCTTGGGGATTGCTACTGCACTGTAGTGGGTTGAGAAACCCTGGCTTAACCCCACAGCCCTGTCATAGTATTTCAGCATTCACATAGAGTCCCCAGAAGGATTTAACTATCTTCACTATTTCATGGTCAGCAGATGGTCCTGAGACCAGCAGCAGCTTCGTCTATGGGGAAGCCACATGCTCACTGACAACTGAAAAGTGCCTTCACAGGGGACAAAGCCTTTCACTTCCAGTTAGAAATTATGGTATAAATGCAAATATCTGTGGAAGAAGTATACACAGATCCTGCCTTCTAGCCCCTTTTCTTGGGCGTGCTCTGGTAGGGCAGAGAGCAGGATGCCACAGGATGGGGCTGTAACAGGGTCACCAAGAACCAGAGCAGGGGGAAGGACATGCTTCCATCTCTTTCCATAAACTCCACAGTTTTGCCCAGGCTTACTCTGGAAAGCATAACCCTCCCTCACCTTAGTGAGCTATAAGGGAAGTCACCTGTGAGTGCTGTTAAAACTACAAAGTATACATAGGGCTGAGCGATTCCACCTAGGACTATATACAATTTTATAGTTTTAGTCAGTTACCTTGTGGGTCAGTTACTCTTTAACTATAAGCATCAATTTCCCAAATAGGAAAGAGAGGGAGAGAAAGCAAAAATATGTGTAATGTCTTCTCCTGCTTTGCATTGGGAGCTGGGATGTTTGCAATGAGGTGCTATTGGATATTTTAAAAAGAGATTCATTTTCAGAGGAAATGCATACACTTTGACCAAACTTGCTCACTAGCAAAGAACAAACTGCAAAACTACCTTACAAAGGCATTATTTACAATGCAATGAAACTACTTTGACTTCCTTTCTCACCAAAACTGCTCTATAGATTTGCCCAAAGTTGTTTCGCAGCCTGCTCAACAAAAGCATCTTGATATAATTTCTATGTACAACAATGTCACCACGTTGTAAAGTAGCAGAGAATTCAATGGCAGATGAGAATCCCATGACCCAGATCCCAGGAGCTTCCTGGGAGGGCTACATGAGGCCACAGGAAGTTGAAGAGTTTCTTCTTTGCTTCACTGATCTTTTGAAAGCACAGTGGGTGATACAGACCTGCCCTTTCCCTGTAGGTCTGATCCTGTCCCTGAAAGGTATGTTGTGCTGAGGACAGGAGAGGTGGCTGGAGGATGGCCTGAGACTGTCCCTGGTGCAAGCAGTATTGCTTCTGGGCTCTTGTAGATGTAAGAAAAGGCAAAATTTCCCCAACTATCACAGAACCTCTGGGAATTTCTGCAAGGTAGGGAGGGAGTCCTGGAAGCTTCTCTCTGAGCTACAGGTCATTCTTTTCTTAAAGAGGTCCCTTGAAATTGTGGGGCTTTCCTTTCTCTGTATTCCACAGTTCAGATGCTGGCTCATGGGAGGGGTTAAGAAGTGGCACTAGGTCATATCACTCTCCAAAGATAGGTGATCCCTCTCAGAGCCAAGGTGGCCTGTGACTTTGGCCTTGATTCTGAAGCTCCACTGCCTTTCACTCCAGGCTCCACTACAGAGAGCCACCTCTGCTACTAGCCCTGCCACCCAGCTCCCAGCCCTGCTGTCACCCCTGGGAGCTTGTCTTATCTTTTCCAAAACAGAATGAAACATTTTCCCAAACTGAAGTCTCTGGACCTTCTGGCCATGGCTTCCTCAGCCCCAGGAAGAGTAGGCCTCCCTGTGTCTCCTCCAGCTTTCAGGAATCCTCTACACTCTGAAAGGAAATGACTCCAAGCTCTGGCTAAGGAGCAAAGCCAAAGGGAAATGGAAGTAGAGAGAGGCAACCATACAGACCGGACCAACAGCTGTGTATAGCCTCGCTGGCTCAGGTGGGTCTCTGGGACAGAAGGAAGTGCTCCTCTGTGTGCCCCAGAATCTACCTGGTGGGACGAGAATGAAGAGTTGAGGCCTTGACGTCCATCTAGCAGAGGGTTCCAGGACTTTGCTGGTGGTGGGTTAAACATGGTTCCAAGCAGCTCTTGAAGATACTGGGCATATAGTCTTGCTTGTCACATCTACAGAGAAAGCTGAACAAGACAGCTTTGCGATCCAAGAGCATGAGCTTTGAGGTAGGATTGTTGGGTCCGCTGAATAAAGAAAGGGGTAAAAATCTGCACAGCATTGGCCGGTAGTTACTCAGAAAGCAAGTACAATATCTAAACAAGAATATCAAACCTAGCAACACAGTTGGTTTCGGTTTATAAATCAAGTTTTATAGAAAGAAAAAGAAAAAAAAAAAAAAACTAATCCAGTAAATAGACAAGTTGCTTCTCAACTTCAAAAGTAAAATGCTTGACTCACATGAACCACAGCCTCCAGCCTGAGACCAGAACTAGATGGTGCCTGGCTACCACTACTGACCATTCTAACCAGGGACACAATAGAAAGTCCTGGATAGAATGGAAGAAAAACGTAAAAAAAAAATTCAAATTCACAAATAAGACCAGACTACTGGTCCGATGGAGACTGGAGGAACCCCAAGACTCTTGCCCTAAGTTATCCTTTTAAAGTGGGACTAAAGCTACTCCTGGAAGCCACCTCTCAACCAAATAATAGACTGGCCTGTAAAACAAAAAATAACCTCCATAAGGAATGTGCTCCTTAGAACAATCAACTATATGAGACCAAAAGGGCAACATTTGCCCAAAAACAAAGATGTGAAAGCAGGAAGGAGAAGGGAAGCCCAGTGAGTGGAAATGAGGAGAACGCCCACATATTGCAGAGATTGCAAGCAACGTCATGGAACAATCTGTGTGTGAATTATTGAATGGAAAACTAATTTGCTGTGTGAAGTTTCGCCTAAAGGACAATAATTTTTTTTTAATGTTTGATAATATATATTTTTAAAAGAGGAGAGAGTAAAGCTTTGCTACCAGATGGAGATGGAGGTGGCAAAGCTAGTAGGAAAGGACAGAGGAGAGGGCAAAGGCCTTTGGAGCAGGGACGTGGCAGGCTCAGGCCTGGATGATCTTGCAGTGAGCTTTGTTTCTGAGAGATGGAAATGACTCAATACTTATTTCAAGAGAAAAGGTTAGTCTTCCCAGGACAGGGGAGAAGGACTCACCTCAGAGCCTCACCCTGGCCACATGTGACTCTGCATCCCAGGCCCTTGCTCTGGGAACTGTGTCCCAGGGACCCACAACCCAGCACCATCCTAGTTTACTGCTAAATCCATAATACTGCCCATCTTATTTCCTGCCTTCTTTAGAGGACCTGCCCACTTCCATCCTTGCAGAATCACCTCTGCCATTGGGACCACTTCCTGCTTTTATGATGATGGTAGGTCTGGTCTCAAAGCAGAGGATGGGTAACTATAAGAGGCTTTCCCTGGGGCCTCTATCTTATATGCTTATGAGTCTGAGAGTAGCACTGTTCAAAGAGCAACTCAAATACATTTTCAGTTAACTTCTTGGGGAGCCAGTTCCAGAAAAGAACCACCATAAATGAAGGCTCTTCACACAGTCAATAAAATCCCCTGTGTTTCACGTGTGTTTAAGAAATAAGTGAGTGAATTTTAGCAGATTGTTGTGTGAGTGAGTGTGTGTGTGTGACAGAAAGAAATCAGTTAATTAATAAAGGACATAAGGAAGCCATTGTAAAGTATTTTTAGCAGTTCAATGAGAGGCAAAATTCAAGAATTAATGTCCCTTTCTATCAATCCTGGATTAGGTCTGCAATGACAGCTCATATTGAAGACTGCAAGACCAAAAAGCTAAAACTAAAGGAAAACTTTTCCTAGCAAAGATGAGAACTTGTAGCCTTGGGACTCTCAAGAAGGAGTGATTCTGCAGCAAAAGGTTAACACTGGGGAAAGGAATGAAATGGTGTCTCCTGACTTCTGCAAAAATAATTCCAGCCGAAAAGACTCAACCAAACCAAAAAAAAAAAAAAAAAAAAAAAAGAAAAGCTAATAACAGGTAACAGGAAATGAAAAGATAAGACCCAGAATGGTTTCCTTCTCACTCCCTTGAGAAAGGTCCTCCTTCATAAGTGTTTGTAACATCTAGATGGTATGAACATGACACACCCATGTTACAACTGACAGTAGAATGAACAAACATGGCCTGCAGACCCACTCTCTGTTCCCCAAAGAAAATGTTTTTAAGATATTTGTGGCTAGTCATCCTGCCCTGTGGGTCATTTGAATGTAGTTAGGGATGGCAATGCTCTTCTCCTGGGAGTGCCACAGTCACAGGTGGAGAGTCAGAGCTGGAAGTTAGTTGCTTGACTACTTGGGCCGCCCAAGGTTTGTGGGCACTTCCAATCCTGTGTGCAAGGTGACCTGGAATAGAAGATAAGACAGAAGTAGGTGGAGGAGGACTCGACAGCACAGCCACTGGGCAGCATCCTCTATTGGCTAAGGGCCATCATGTGAAGCAGTCAGGGGCCTCTCCAGATGGTCAAGTGTGTGTTTATCATGTTGCTCAGTGTCACTGATATAAGGTCCATGTGTTTCCCCTGAGGGAATGGTTTGACCCTCTTTCCTAATAATAAGCATCATAAAATGGACTGGCTTTTCATTTGGCCCCAGCTTCCAGAAGCTCAAGCAGATGTGATGTTCATTCACAGCAGCTGCACTAGTTCTCATAGTTAGCTTATTTCTTTCTACTTTCATTCCATAGCCCCTTTTCTTTTCCTGTATCTGTTTTATTAAGCTTCTGGAATAATAGCTTCAAAACACTTTTGCAAATGAGTGGAGTAAATAAGTGTACAGATGAAGTGAAATAAGTGTATTGACGAAGACTTCAATATATAGGATTAGTGTTCTGCCTAGCAGAAGAACTCTGTTAGAAAAGTACCCCCCATCCATGTTTCTCCCCTCCCTCACTGGGCTCTAATTTTGACTTTGTCTGTTTAGAGCCTCTCTCGAACTGTCAGTATTCGCCTGTCTAGGACTGGGCCCCAGCCCTGAAATATAAAAGGACAAGTTTCCTGACTGCCTCATGTGGGCAACACAGAAAAGACAGAGCAGGGAAGGGCAAGATGGGACAAGAGGAGACATCCATCCATTTAGAAGATGCTGCTCCCTAACTCTCCTTTGTTATTTCTCCTCTCAGCAGAAAGCTGCACAAGGCCTTAGTGTCCCCCACGTGATGGCCCCAGTACATGAATGACCATTAGGGCTACTGCAGGCAAGCAAGCTCTCATTTCCCTCTCTTATTGCTGCAACCTCTCCCTTACAGCTCTTCCAGGAAAGAGAGTCCCCTTAGGGTGAGTCACTATTTGTTTCCTTACTCAATCTTTTTTCTCCTCCTTTCCATGCTTCCCCACAAATTGACAGCCTCAGAATTCCTGCTTGTTCCAAATGAGCAAGAATTTATGGTGGAAGAAGGGATGAACTCCAGGAAATCCCCAGGGATAGGCTGGCAGGGAAGATGTGGCTACTTTGGAAAGTGCACTAAGGGGCACTAAGGGCACACAAGCAAGTAGGGTGAAGGCGACCAGCCCAACCCCAGTGGGAGTGGCCTCAGTACCTGCACATTGCGGTTGAGGCTGAGGGCTGGCATGAAGACCCCGTCAACATGACTGAAGGCTGTGGGGCCCTGCTGCTGCCCATTGATGAAGAAGGTCAGGGTATGCTTGTTCAGATCCAGCAACACACCAACCGTGGCCCCTTTGGATACTCCACCTTCTGTCCTGCAAAGAGAAGACCAAAAGTTATATCACCACACTGAGCCCAGGATGTAGGTGATAATCCAGAAGCATCATCTGAAGGTTCTGGCAACACCCTCACCTGAGAAACATCTCCCATGGTGAGAGCAAAGAGCTAGTCTTTTGGGTTTATGAGCCTTTTCTGGGCATGTACTAACTATTTGAAGGGCAGCATGTGGAGACCTTACCTATCATTCACATTCCTGACACCTACTTGGCACCTAGACACTCAGGGAATTAGGATTTTGATAAGCCTTCCCATAGATTGGAAACATGGAGTGTGGAATGTGTGTAGGGAAGATTTCTTTGCCTGCCAAGAAAAGGGCTGATGACTTTCAGTTTTAGCTAACTGTGGCCCGCTGGGCCGAGTGTTATTGAGTTCCATAAGGTTGTAGGTTTGAAAGGACCCCACCCTTTCAGCTGATCTTTCCAGAAATATCCTGTTATTGTTGCTAGGTTTCATCAAGTTGATTTCAACTCATAGTAATCCTATGTGACAGAACAGAACTTCCCCCATAGGGTTTTGTAGGCTGTAATCTTTATGGGAGCAGATCACCACATCTTTTCATCCATAGAGCCACTGGGTAGGTTCGAACTGCCAACCTTTTGAATAACAGCAAAGCATTTAACTATTGGGCCACAAAGGCTCCTTAGAAACATCCTAAACCCATTGCCATCAAGATGATTCCCACTCATAGTGACCCTACAGGGCAGAGTAGAACTGTTCCATAGGGTTTCCAAGACTGTAACCATTACAGAAGCAGACTGCTACATCATTCTCCCATGGAGTGGCTGGTGAGTCAGACCACCTGCTTTTTGGTTAGCACTCTGCCACCACGGCTCCTAGAAGCATCCTTGGGGCTTTAAAAGGCAGCACACTAAAGGAGGAGTGGGTGCTGAATCTGGAATCTGGTCCTGTAAGTACTGTTCTAACAATGTGACCTTGAGAGTGTAAATTATGAAGCTCTTGCTAAGTTATTGATGTTCCCCTGATGGGTTCTAAACTCAGTAGAAGTTCATGTCTGGGGGGAGGAATGGATCTTTAATGAGGTATGCTCTCCTAGGAGGGCCTTTGGCTGTCATGGCCAAATTTATTACTTTCCTTCTCCTGAGCTCTGGTAGCATAGTGGCTAAGACACTTGCCTGCTAACCCGACGGCTGGCGGTTCAAACCCACCAGCCACTCCTCGGAAGGAAGGTTGGGCAATCCTACTTCCGTAGTGATACTGCCTCGGAAACCCAAGGAGGGGTCGCTATGAGTCAGGTTTGACTCGATGGCACATAACAACATAACAACAACAAGCTATAGGACTGAGGTCTTAGCCCTGCCCCTGCTGCTCCTCTCTCAGGAAAAAAGCTGCTTTTTCCTTTCCTGATTAGGAATGAGTTGATCAACTGGAGGCTCATATGTAGGGGGAAAGAAGGGGAACTCTGGGTTTCAACACAGAAAAAGTGTTGAAAGAAGTTTGTGAGATTCCAAGTTTTCATGAGGCTGGCTGGAGGGAATTCTGGTGGTGGAGGTTTCTTGAGAGGGCAAATTTTCCTAAGGGTGTTAGGGGCCAAAGGCAGGATTCTGCAGGTGGGAAGGCAAACTAGAAATGATCTATTGGTGCTATTCTGACACTAGGTGGCAGTAAGCAACAATCTGAGGGGCAGAAATGTGTCTTGCCCTGGTCCACATGAGGCACACTCACCAAGCCTCTGCCCTGCCCTGCCCTGCCCTGATGGCCATCCCCTCCTAGGTCTTCATCACCTGCATCTGCTCTTCACTGAGGTGATGCAAATAGAGGTACAGGTTCCTCCTGCCCACTTTCTCACCACTCAAATTTCCTTCTGCTTGCCCTGCTCTTTATGGTCCCTACTGAAGCATCAGAGTCCCTGAGTGGTGCAAATGGTTAATGCACTTGGCTGCTAACCAAAATGTTGGTGGTTCAAGTCCACACACAGGCACCTCGAACAAAAAGCCTGGTATTCAACTTAAAAAAAAAAAAAAATCAACCATTGAAAACCCTCCTACTCTGACACACATGGGGTTACCATGAGTCAGTCAACTCAGTGGCAACTGGTTACTAGACCAAATCAACAAGGAATTGGAAAGGTCAGTGAGAGGCCAAGAAATGCTTTTGGAAATGAGTGGACAGGGAAAGCTCTTTGGGCTGATGCTGTTCTACTGTCTGTTACAGAGAGCTCTGATGGAGCTCGGGTGACACTGTGGTTAAAGTATAGGGCTGCTAACCATAAGGCTGGAGGTTTGAACCCATCAGGGAGAAAGATGAGGCAGTCTGCTTCAACAAAGATTTACAGCCTTGGAAGTCCCATGGGGCAGTTCTACTCTGACCTTTGTGGTTGCTATGAGTCAGAATTGACTTGATGGCAGTGGTTTGTTTGTTTGTTTGTTTGTTTGTTTTGGTTACATATTTTATTTGGTCACTTTCATCTGGATGGAGTCAAATCTGGAAGTGGGAGACAAAGTGGCTGAACCCCTCATGTCTTTGATACCTGGCATAGGAAAGCACACAAGGGACACTGGCCCAATGGGAACCCTCATTCCCAAACTCCTCTCTGCCCAAGGAGGGGAGGCAAGGCAGGGACAGCGCACCTGTTGGTGTGGGAGTTGCAATGCATGAACCAGCTGCGGTTGTTGTCCACATACATGGCCCAGGCCTTGTCGTCCTTGCCTAGCATCATGTCTTTGACCACGTTGACCCTGGCGACCCCGAAGGCAGGGTCAGGGTGATTGTCATACCGGTCCACGTGCAGCTCCCAGTAATGCACACCCTTGGAGAATGCAGCTGTGCCCAGGACCACTCGATCATCATAGCTGCTGCAGGTGGCTGTCTGGTTGTCATTGGACAAAATGATGTCTCGGTGGCCAGAGTTGGGGTCAAATGTGAACCAGGCCACTGGAGGGGAAGGAGACAAGAGGAAGAGATCAAGAGTTGGAATTCCACAAAGAGTGTTCTAACCTGGGCTCAGAGACATGGAGTCTCTGTCAGAAGTCAACACTCAGCATTGAATGTTCTTCCATGTACGATCACCACACACACACACACACACACACACCATAACACACACACACGTGTGCCCACACACCCATACACACATACAACAAACACACATGCCTGCACATGTGCTCCCTTCCTTCCCTGCTCTATGTTCTTTAAGTTCCAATCCTATATACCCAACTTTGCCAAGGAACACAGACATACTGGCCTCAAATATAAATGAATTTCATGGACCCTTGATTTCTATCACCATTCCAAATGCCCCATGAAGGAAGGAGTTAGGTGGCCCACATCGTGGATGGGAGATTGGAGACACAGAAAAATGATGTGATAAGCCATAAAGCTCATCCTCCCTGTTCTACATCCCATGGGTCATGTGCCTTCTGCTTTTTAGAGCCCTCCAGTTGTGGGTAGTGAGCCCTCACTTTAACACTGTAACCACAGTGCCAGGCAAGAACTGTCCACCTTCATGTTGCAGAGCTCACAGGGCAGAACACTAATGGGCTCTGTGGTTTACAAAGCAGCTCTGCAGTTGGCATGATTTCAGGAGAGAGGCACCAGGCTGTACCCTAAAGATAGCTTCTGCTTCTACTCCTGCTCCACCTGCCCCAGGATGTAATCAGGTGTGTTGTGTTTGTCTCAGGGGCACTCAAAGTAAAAATAATGGCAATAAATACAGGTCGAACACCATCCTTGGAGCCAGTGGGGAGTGGAGACCTCTGCAACTCAACTAGGTCTTGTCTCGTTTGACAGGGCAGACTATTTTTGGAGTGTGGTTCTTTATTTACATTATTGCTCCTCACAAAGGTCTCAGACACTCAAACTCTGACTGAATGTTAATGTGCTCTTATTGCCATACACCCAAAAGGACATGTTGTTGTTGTTGTTGTTATTTGCCATAGAGTCGGCCCCGACTCCTAGCGACCCCTCCTTGGGTTTCCGAGGCAGTTATCACTACGGAAGTAGGATTGCCCAACCTTCCTTCCGAGGAGTGGCTGGTGGAAAGGACATAGCTAAGTACAAAAACCATCAGATATGAGCTTTTCCATTGAGTGTCTGAGGAATGTGTTACCACTGAGGAAAAGGCTTGACTCTAGGGGAGGGGGTGTGTCATCGTGAGGCATCAGTGGCACCTAGTCCACCCTGAGACTGTCCCACCCACCCTTCACCCCTTCAGAAATTGGTGAAGTTTAGCCTCCTTGAGCCACTCGACTTTAGTCTCATTTCTCAGGTCCAAAAAAAATGGGGTAAAGGAATGTTCATTTCTCAGCTTGTGGTGAGGGAGGGTGCAGTGCAGTGTGGCACATGCTGAGCAGAAATAAGGCTGGTGGAACCTGCATCTTATCCAGCAGCCCTCCCCTCCACTCCACCCTTTCCTAACTTCTGACAGTTCCTCACAGTCTATGGGGTGAGGTGTGAGTTAGGTCTGGGGGCTTATATGCCTCCTTTAGGAACACCTTCACAGTCCCTGAATGTGCTTCTCTGATCAAGATTATACACAGGACTCACCGTCAGATGTCTGCAGAACAACTGTTTTACTGTAAGGCCCGACACCTGATGAGTTGAAGGCCTTGACCCTGGCATTGTATGTGCTGTTGAAATGAAGGCCATCAATGGTGCACAGGGTCTCCTTGCCAACATACACTTCCTGAAGAAAGGCAAGGCCATTAAGTTTGTCATTATTTGGAAATTTCTGCCTAGGCAACAATTTGAAATGAATGATGCTACAATCTCAACAGAAACTACTGAACAAGGAACATTTCACTCAGTCATGGCCAAGTTGCAGGCCATCCCTTGAGTAGGGCACTTATGGATTGGCTGGTCTTGCTCCTCTGTGAGGCTGTGAGATGTGAGAGGGTCTTAGGGAGACAGGGATTATACCCCTGCAGCCAGCTGAGACTCGGCCTGAGAAACTTTCTGTGTCTGACAAGGTCAACCCCTGCTAGACAAGATCTGGGGCTTTAAAGTTCTGGAGAAGTACCAATCCTCCAGGGGATAGCTGTGAGGTATCTCTTCCTCCTCTTGTAGGGCAATGTAAGATTTTTGGATTTCAGTGGGAATTTAAAGTAGAAAACCAGAGTTATGCAACTCACTGATCAAAACTACCAACATTTTTTTTTAAAATACATTTTATTGAAATATAATTTATGTACAGTGAAATACACAAAACTGAAGTGACATGGGTCAATGCATTTTTTTTTCAGTATTCCCTCCCCTCCCCTCCCACCCCTGGTAACCAACAAAGAAAGTTTCCTTCCATATATAAACTTTTCCTTGACTCTTTTACAATAATGAACTAATACTATATTTGTCCTTCTGTGATTGACTTATTTCACTCAGCATAATGTCCTCCAAATTCATCCATGTTATATGGTGTTTTGCATATTCTCCATTATTATTTAGTGTTGCATAGTATTCCATTGTATGTATGTACCATAGTTTGGTTTTCCATTCTTCTGTTGATGGGCACCTAGGCTGCTTCCACCTTTTTGCTATTGTAAATAGTGCTGCGATGAACATGGAAATACCATTTGATCCCGCAATCCCATTACTAGGTATATATCCTAGTATATACCTATACCTAGGATATATACCTAGTAATGGGATTGCGGGATCAAATACCATTTGATACCATAGGTATATATCCTAGTAATGGGATTGCTGGATCAAATGGTATTTCTAATTCCAGCTTTTTAAGGAATCACCATACTGCTTTCCGCAGTGGCTATATTATTTGATAGTCCCACCAGCAGTGTATGAGAGTCCTAATCTCTCCACATCCTGGCCACCATTTGTTATTTTCCGTCTTGTTGAACTTTGCCATTAGTGTCGGGTTGAGATAGTATCTCATTGTTGTTTTGACTTGCATCTCTCTGATGGCTAATGATCGTGAGCATTTCTTCATGTATTTTCTGGTTGCCTGAATATCCTCTTTGGTGAAATGCCTGTTCATGTATTCTGCCCATTTTTAAATTGCATTGTTGATATTTTTGTTGTTGAAGTATTGGAGTTTTCTATAAATTTTATATGCCAGATATGTCATTGCCAAACATTTTTTCCCATTCTGTAGGTTCTCTTTTTACTCTGTTGAAGAAATCTTAGGAAGCACATAAAAATTTAATTTTTAGAAGGTTCCATTCATCTAGTGTATCTTTAGCTGTTTGTGCATTTTGGGTTATGCTTGGCTGTCTATTTATGCCACAAATGAAGGCCCCTAAATTTGTCCCTATTTTTTCCTTGGGGAACTTTATAGTTTTAGGTTTCACATTTGTTTTTGATCCATCTGGAATTAGTTTCTGTGTATGGTGTGAGGTATAGATCTTATTTAATTTTTCTGCAAATGGATATCCAGTTTTGCCAGTACCATTTGTTAAAGAGACCACCTTATGCCCATTTAATGGATTTCAGCCCTTTGCCAAAAATCAGCTGACCATAGATCTATTTCTGGGTTCTCAATTCTGTTCCACTGGTCTGTGTGTGGTCTACGTGTCTGATACTAGTTGTTGACTAGTGTGAGACCTCCTACTTTGTTCTTCTTCTTCAATAGTGCTTTGCTTATTTGCAGTCTCTTTCCTTTCCATATAAAATTAGTGATTGGTTTTTCCATATCCTTAAAGAATACTGATGGGATCTGGATTGGGATTGCATTGAATGTATAGATTGCTTTGGGTAGAATTGACATTTTACAATTTTCAATCTTCCTATCCATGAGCATGGTATGTTCTTTCATTTATGTAGATCTCTTGTAATTTCTTGGAGTAGTGATTTGTAGTTTTCTATGTACAGGTCTTTTGAAAACCACCAACGTTTCTAAAAGAAGCATCATCACATATGAGGGGAGAAAGTAGACAGAAGGAAGGTGTTGATGAAGGACAGCCTAGTTCAAGGTTGGTCTGGTCTGGAACCACTCCTGGTGTGAGGTGTACTCCACTACTACTCCTAGTCTTCTTCTTTGGCTCTTCTGGAGCTGCTTTTTTACTTGGTCTCCCAAGCAGGTGAGACATTTCTGCATCAGACCCCAAGGATCCTTTTCCAAGGTTTTACTTTGTTACTTATTCACTTCAAAGTCTCCCTTCTTCTATTAAGCCCTCCAAATCCAGAACAGCTTTACACCACTTGTATTTCATTATATTCTGCTTAGTTTGTCTAAAACATCTTTACTGCTTGGTTGTTTAGGAGGGAACTATATTTCCCTTTTAATTATATGTTATTAATAATAATAGCTCTGTGCCAGGCATTGTATAAGATATGTTAATCCATGATAACTTCTTAGGCATAGTCAACCACCCTGATGAAGCAAAGTGTTAGACCTGTGAGCTCAGGGCCATGGTCGCAGGGGACATCAAGTTCAATTGGCATAACATACTACACAAAAACAGTGTTCTACGTCCTACTTTGGTGAGGTATGACTGGGTCCTTAAATTAGTCCAAGGCACTAGTGGACCATGCGAACCTTAGCCTGTATGACCATGAGACCAGAATAACTTCGATGGTACCCAGCTATCACTGTCAACTACTCGGAAAGGGGCAGGTGCCGGAGATCCTGGATAGAGTGGGCGAAAAGTGTGGAACAAAACTCAAAATCATAAAAGAAAAAAAAAAAAAAAAGACCAGGTTTACTGATCTGATAGAGCCTGGTGAGACCTCCAAGACTATGGCCCCTAGTTACCCTTCAGATCTGGAATTAAACTCACTTCTATAGCTTCCAGTTAAACAACAGACAAGTATATAGGGTGAACATTTACATCAGGTAGATATACTTCTTAGAACGATCAATCTTTGGAGAACAGAAAGGCAGTATTTGCACAGGGAGATAACTCAGGGGGCAGGAGTACACAGGAAAGAAGGACACAGAGAAGAGGAAACTACAAGGAGAAAGTGGAAAGAGAGCTGTTACATTATGAGGAATTGCAGTAAATGTCATGAAACAAAATGTGTATGAATTGCTGTATGGAAAATGAATTTTGCTCTGTAAACTTTCATCCACATCATGATAATTTTTTTAAAAAAAGATATGTTAATTCTCACAACAACCTTAGGGCATTATTGTCATTTTTCATATTTTACAAACAAGGAGTTCAAGATCTGAGAAGGTAGAGAACTTGCTCAATATCACAGCTAATCCATTTAGGAGTCAGAATTCAAACCCAGGTCTGCTTGTATTCAAAGCTCCCATTTTCCCACCATAACATCTTGTTTCTCATAAACTAGCCCTTAGATCTAGCTTTTGTTAGTGGCCATGTCTAAAAGGGGAAAGACCATTTTTATTTTAGCTCTGTGGCTATTGCTTTGAATAACTCTGAAACAGTCTTTTCTTTCTTCTCATTTCAAAAACACAGGCCCCCTTCCTGCTTTCCAGTTGAGAAGCTTATTTGCAGAACAGGAGTGAATGGGCTAGACCCAGTAACTGAGCATGCTGTTTCTGGCTCAAATACCTCACCTTCTCATTTCTCTAAGTGGCCCATATTCACGCAGGGCTCAATCTCCGAATGAGTGTTGCAGTTATTTCCCAGCTCTTACATTCTTGTAGAGCATCTTTTAAACAGAAATGAAATTACATGAATCCCATTGAGAGAAATGAAAGAATTTCTTAAATGGGCTTGACAAAGATTCTTAAATGGGTGTGACTCCCCGGAAGAAGAAAAGCAAACTTTGTTATGATTACAGTGCCTTGTCAGAATGAGTCTATTTAGTTTTCTTGAGGTTAGAATGGACAAGCTCTGAGAAGGCTTAGAGTTAGTGCTTCCTAGTGATCATGTCAAGGAGCTCTGGTAGCACAGTGCCTAAGGTATCTGACTGCTAATCAGAAGGTTGGTGGTTCAAACCCACCAGCCACTCCATGGAAGCAAGAATGGGCAATCTACTTCCATAAAGATTTACCACCTTGGCAACCCAATGGGGGTCACTATGAGTCAGAATCGACTCAGTGGCATTGGGTTTGGTTTTAGGTGATTATGTCAATACAACTTAGCAGCAACCTGAACTTAACAGTGTGAAACCTCAATGTAGTGGGCTCTTGGGGAGCCTGGAATGGAGTCAAGGGCTGTCCTAGGGTTTATATAAGATAGAAGTTGTTTTCATTGTCCTCACAATATACCACCAATGAATGTAGAATTTGATCCCAATTCAACAGCCATTTCTTCAGCATCTTCTACCCTGCACTGTGCCAGGTAGACAAGGGAATGTAAGGCGAGGCCAGGTTGTACTTTTTACTCTCCAGAAACCTGTACCTTCAGAGAAACAAGATCAATTCCTGTGAAATAATCAGTGAACCAAAGAAGCCCGGTGTGGTAAAACCTGGCAGGAACTCAGTGGTTGCCCTGCACTGGGGAACCTACATGAATGGAGTGGTATCTGAGAGGGTGCTGAGGAATAACTATGACTGGACTGGTAGTGTTAACTGGGAAGTAGTTGTGTGTTGGTGGCACCTCTTCTGAGCTCTGCTTCAGCCCAACGCAAAACATCCTTAGCACCACCCCTTTGGCAGTCTTTACAGGAAACTCGCCTGAGTATTCTCTATGAGCGAGGCTTCTGCCAGCTCTCGGTGGAGAAGTGTCCTGTCTCCCGTGACCTCAGACAGGCCCAATGACCATGCTCGAGGCCCTGTTGGGTAGCTCAGATTTAGGGCGGTGTCAGGAAGGCCCAGAGACGGGGCAGGGTTTGGACCGAGCGATTGAGGCTTACCCGGAACTGCCCGCCGTCGCCGTCATCTAGCTCCAGGATGTAACCATCCACGGGGCTGTGAGTGAAAGGCGGCATCCTCCAGGCCAGCGTGACGCTGTTGTTGCGGGTGCAGCACTTCTCCAGCTGCAGCAGCGGGACTGGCGGCACTGGGGGATAGGAGGAGGCGGGCACAGTTAGCGCGCCACGCCTTCCTGTTCTGGCTCCTGCTGCCCCTGCCGCTTGTAATCACTGCCCCCAGCCCCTTATATGCACCACCCAGCACAGGAGTCCTAGTCCCAGTGGGATTGGGAATCAAGGCATGCATAAGTAGCCATACTTCTCAATCCTAGGGTAAATGGAATCCCAAGATAGGGCATGGCAGAGGCCTCCACCCCCTGAATCTGCAGGCCATAAGTAAGGGAGACACTCTTCCCAACCTCTATTGAGAATCACTGATTTTGACTCTGTCCTATGGAGAACTCAAAGGAATTCCAACAGATTCCTATCCATAGGCCCAGCATTGAATGTGAGCACAAAGCTCACCCCTGGGCTGCGCCCCTTCCCCTTCACTATGTAGAAAGGCTTGGAAATCTTTGGCTGAGGATTTAAGGGGCCAAGGGAGCTAGATCTGGGAAAGGGCAGTGATTTTAGAGGACGAGACCGTCTACTGGGGGAACGAGGAATTTTACCAAATGTATCCTAAGTACTATCAAGGTGAAATTGGGAGGATCTTTTACATTTTCTAGCTGTGTTCAGGTTCAAGGGATTTTAGAAACTATATATATTCCACACTGCTGCTTTACGGGAAAAACCAACATCAGTTTTGTAACAGGTATGTATTTCAATTTGGTGCTACATATTATGGCAGATCTTCTAGGATTTAGCTGATAGTTCAGTTGGTTGAAATCTCTTTCCTGACTGCAGACTTGGTCTTAGGGATGACTGAGCACAGCCTAATTACCCTAGGCCCTCTTTTCATAGGTGTGTAAGAATTTAACTCTTGGACCCTACAGCTCCCCTGGGCCCTCATTTCCTCGCTTTGCTCTCCTGCCTCACCTCTGACCTTCACACAGTCAAGAGCAGCATCTGAAGACACCCCTGTACTCTAAAGGAGTCAGAGGGTCCTTCCTTTCCACTGGGTTCACCCCCACTCTGCCTGGCTCCTCTTGCTCTTCTTGGCATCTCAGTGGCACCTAGAGCAGGTGGCATTTTCAAACATCTCTGAGGTGCAAATGTGTGTGTGGGAGTGAGTGTGACATTGCGCTTTTTAAAAATGGCCAAGTATTTTGCAGGTGAGGGATTTTGAGTTCACAGGTACTGCAGATATGACCTTTAATCCTTTGATATCTTGCTTTAAAAACATTAAGACAATAAATGCGCCTTTAATCCCTTTCCTAAATGTACATTGGCATCTCTGGGGAGATAATGTATGAAACAGGACTCTTGTTCTGGCCATCACTTGCTAACTTTGTAACTGGGGCAAATTATCCAAACTTTATTAACCCTGATGCTGGCTGGCCTTTGTTGCTTTCTGACTTCATCTCTTACCACTCCTCACCTTGTTTTTTCTGATTTCATCTCTGACCTTCTTGCTCTTCTAGAATACAAAAATTTATTCCTGCCCCAGGGCCTTTGCACTTGCCATCCCTCTGCCTTCTGCAATGCTGTTTCCCTGCATTGTCTCTGTCTCTCTTTTTCCTCTACCCTGTTCCTTCTCACCTCTAATACACCTCCCACATCTCTGCCTGCCTCCTTCTTCATCATTTCACCTGTCACTATCAGACATTATAAGTTTATTTGTTCAGTGTCTAATTCTTCTACTAGAATATAAACTCAGTCTTGTTTGGGAATCAGCAGACTTGTTCCCTGTTATATCCTTCGCACCTAAAATCATAGCTGGCTTGTGGTAGGTGCTTAATAAAAGTTTCTGAATGGACAATCAATTCTCCTTCTATAAATGAGAAGACTACGGCTCAGCGTGGTGGTTCCTCGTCATTGGTCACACAGTGGGAAGATGGGCTGGGATGTGACCCCAGGTCTCTGACTCCAGACATCATCCATCTTCCAATGGCTCTAAGCTACCCCCCAGACTGGATGCCTCTCCCAAGAGAAGCATAGAAGTGGGGCCAACTGCGGCTCACCCCTACATTTCATCTGGATGAAGTCCAGCTGGTGGATGGCCTGCAGCAGTGGCTCACTGTCCAAAGTCAGGTCGAACTCCGCTGACACCTTGGGCTCCAGGGCGCCTTTCACCCACTGTTCCTGAGACACCTGGACACGCTTGATCAGGGCATCCGAGATCTTAAAGGGAACAGACGGTTTGGAGTTTCGATTTGCAAAGGAGAAATTGTGCAGCAAGTGGTGAGGAAGAAGAGTAGAATTTGTCTTTATGGTTCAGGGACAAGAAGAGGCTGTACTAAGCATGTGCTCTCAGTCCCAATTCAGAGAATAAATACCATTTCTGCTCTGTATGACCCTTACAAAATTTGTTGTATTGTTTAAATCATATTTTTAAAATGTGGTCATGCTCAATGTCAAGAAGCACTTGCTATTAAAGAAATTGGACTAAATCCTTTTGTAAAACAAATAATGCTTTTTTTAAAAAAAAAATACAAAAAATATTTTCATTGTATCTGTTTTGTTAGAGTTAGTATTTTGCAAAGTGAAATATACTAAGAATATGTCCCAGGGTGTGAAGAAATCATCTCTCATATCCCCAGAACTCTGAAATCTCCTATCTTTGACTTGTTCCCTCTGAGTTGCTCTGGAATCTCTGCTCTAAACTCTCATGGCATCACACCCATAGCTCTGCTCTCCTCAATGAGAAGTTCTCCTTACTCAGAAATTTATACCTGTCCCTGCAGAGTCCCTGCAGAGTCATGATCTGAAGTGCCTTCTTGGGGAATAATCAGTGGGATTCACCATTTTCCCCACAGACAGATGACTGAATTCCTTTCTGAATCACGGCCACATTCCTAAGAGACTTTATGACTCTGAGTCATCTGATGTATTGGAGAGATGACCAGTATGCTCTTTGGAGGCAGCAGTCACCTGCCCAGGCCTGTAGGATGTTGCACATTGATGGAACATGTTTATTCTGCTAACTCACTTCTCCCATTGGGATCTGCCCAGCTTGTTTAGCAAAGACTTTCCTTTCCCATTTGGACAAAGAAGAGGGGAACATGAAAATCCAAGTGTAAAAGCATAGCACTTTGGCCTTAGTGATTATGACCTTTAAATTCCTTGTTTACAGATGAAGGAGATCCAGTTAGTGAGAGGCCTCTGAGCCAAGGTGAGAACCTATGTCTTCTGGAATCACTGAGCAAAGGAGAATCTACACTCTAAGCCACTGGAAGGGAACTTGCCTAAAGCTTCAGCCTGTCTGGGGTGTGGCAGTGGAGGTAGAAGAGAGAAGAAGCCGTGCCCACCTGGTGTCTTCCAGGAGTGAACTTACCTGTAGAAACCCAGAGGGGTCATTCTCCTTGATCACCTCCAGGCAATACTCCATCAGCCCTGTTGACTGGCGCAACTTCAATGTGCAGTGATTGATCTGATCCCAAACCATCTGCAATGAAAAACTTCTTTTAGAAATTGTCTTATTAGAGAGCAAGCAGCCAGGCTGCAGCAAGAGTCACAGAAATAGCACAAAAGTACATGGAGGAAGTGGCCCTGGTCTGATCTTCCTTGCACCCCCTGCTCTGATGTGCTCCTGAGCACCATGTGCACTCACTCTATCCTGGGACCTTCTTCCCAACAACAGGGACACAGTGTCCACCAGAGCAAACCTCCTTAACTCTGGATGGTAAAACACAGAAAATGCATAATCGAAAGCTGTCTGCATGACCAGCCACTAGCTTCTGGTCTTGCTTCTGACTTATTGAGCGGTCTTTAGCTGCTTCACTTATAAACCAAGGTCATTCCCAACATTCATTCCTTCTTTCCTTGCAAGTTAATATCTTCTGAATCAGTTAAGAAATATCTTTAAATGCATTGGACTCCCTGGACAATGAGCCAACCCTTTATCCATTCAAAGCATTCAGGGGTCCTTAACTTGCCCTAGGGACTTAATTTCATATGAAGGAAGACCCTGCCCTTCCTTTGGTGGAAACTGACCATATTTTTATTGGTGATTATTGAGTGCATGGGACATCAGAAAGAACTAGAGACCTGGGAAGACCAAAACCTAGTCACTGTCATGGATCATCTCTGCTCTGCAAGTCAGGCAAGAACAGGAAGAAGCCTTAGATAGAAAACAAGGATTTAGTAGAAGATGGGAGAGGATAGACCTATGACTTTAAAACAGCTGGACACAGGAAGTCTGGCTTTAGCTTTGTTGGGAGAGCATGGGTGTTTACTGGCTTCAGTAAAATGGAGGGCCTATGTCATGTTTGTATTAGTGTAACTAGTCCCTGGTACACTAGCTAGCTCACTCACCCCTCCTTCTTTCATTCATTCACTCATCCACTTACTCAACTACTGTTTAACCAGTGCCTACTGCGTACTTCACCCATGCTGAGTACAGAAGATATAATGAGGATTAAGTGCAACAGCCATCTTGGTACTTACTTTCAGCTTGTGCTCCCTCTCTTTAGTAACCTTGGTGAGCAGTTTGGCTTTCTGCCGAGTTAAAGCATCAACCAGGGCATCACACTGAGCAACTAGGCAGGCTTCATAGTCTAGTCCGTTTTCCTAGGGGAAGCAGAAGAGCTTTAGATAGAAAAGATGCCAAAATTTGGCCAGTGCTTTAGACAAAGATGTATTTCAGAGAAGATTATACATTAGGGGAGGGGCACTGTGAAATCATGGCCCATTCTATATGATGGAATATTCCATAGCCATTCAAACTCTGTTCATAGAGAATTCTTAATGCCAGGGAAAATGCTCATGAGAGCATTAATTAAAAAAACAAAAACAGAAAATAGGGTAAAAAGCTACATGTAGTATAATCTCAGATATACTGTGTGTATGTGTGTGTATGTATGTGTGTGTGTGTAAAGTAATGGAACCACATGTGTCAAAATGGTAAGAATGGTCACTTCAAGTGGTAGGAAAATGGTGGACATTTTTTCTCTAGTTTTTCTATTTTCTAAAATTTCTGTAACACATATTTTTGCTTTCATAATTGGAAAAAAAAGTAAAACCAACAAACAAAAATATCTTTTTCATTCCTAAAAAGAATCCTCCTGAGTCATTCAGCTCTGTGTAGAGTCAGACCTCATGTCTCTAAAACATCAGAAGCATCATGACTTGAAAGACCTCATAGCTGAATTCTGCACAGTAATTGGTTAAGACTTCAGGGGCTCTCATTCCCTATTCTCCACTCAGATGCTTGAATGCTTTATGGGGCTTGTCATCTGCATAAACAATTCCTCTAGTGTGCATGTGTGACACTCTGCCCCACAGACAGGGCTCTCTGAGGCCAGAGGCTGAGTTTTATCCTTTTTTGTATCTTCAACAAAGGCCCTCAATGAATACATTTATCTAGTAAGTGATGCATTTATATTATATTATTTGATGACAAGGGCATTCTTGGGTACAAAAGCACTGCGCGCAAATACTGCATAGGATTTACATGGCCATGGAGAGTTGCATCTTTCAAGCTGTCTATTCTATGATTCTCCATAAACAACTCTATGTAAAATTCCATTGGTAATTTCCAGTGTATAGGACTTCTGTTTCTTCATCAGGTGTTATCTGAGTGTCAGTGGATTGAGTGTGTATTGTCTTCAGCATCCAAGGCTGTACAATAGAACAATGAAACAGTAATGTTCATCACTGACAAACATACTTATCACAAGACTCCCTTTCTTCTTCATGCTATTTATAATTTACAAACTTTCTTCCCTGAGTGTTCCTCACCTGGATCTGCTGCAGTATATTCTTGAGCTGAACCAGAAACTCCTTAGCTTCTTTTGCCTTGTCGGAAACTCCATTTAAGGCCTGAGATAGTTGTGCCTTTAAAAAAAAAAAAAAAATCACATATTGGAAAAAAAAATAGGTGTTAAAGGCACACAATTTGCACTTAATCATAAAGACTTGTGCTTACAAGGGAGGAGAGAACTGATTCATAGCATCCACTAGCCTAATTTATGAAGACACCACTGCCAACTCATGGTCTGACATGTGCTTACTTTTCCTGCAATGGTTGGTGAGTGTTAATTGGCCTATATACTCTTCTATCTAGACCCCAGGGCTGAAAAGAAGCAAGAAGAAGTCCTAACTAATTGGTTCAAGCTGACAGGCCTGCCCTTGACACTGATGAAACTTAGGACAAGAATGCAAATGGAGGCCCTTTGGCCCTCTGTTCCCCTCTCTTCTCACCAGCAGCTCTGTCCTGCATCAGGAGGGCCTTCAAATGCATATGTATGGACATCCCAGACTACAGGCCGTGCTCCACCCACCCCATGCCTACACAGGTGCCTACCTTTGGCCTGGGGTACATACCTGGTGGTGCAGTCAGGGGAAGAGGCCTGACTATGAGCTAGAGCCATAAGGACAGAGGGGGATCCTCAGTTTTCATTGAGAAGGGAGACACAGGCTCCTTGTAGGCAGCCCCCTTAGCCCTCCTCACCCTGCAGAGATAGGATACAATGTGGACCTGCAAACTGAGATCAAACTTGTAACCTTGAGCATAAATCTTTTCAACTAGCCGCATACATACACAGTCAAATTTGTCTTCAAATCCTAGCTATTGAGTAGACTGATGATCTTATATTTAATGTCTTATTTTTCAAATTAAAAAGCTGAGAATGGAGCAAAATAGGGTCAAAAAGGCCTGGGTCTCTCCACACCCACTTTCTTTAGGTCTCTGCTTAAATGTCACCTTAGGAGAAGATCCTCCCTGACCACCCTGTGTAAAAGTGCCTTCTCCCCTCACCTTGCTTCATTCTTCTTCTTAACACTTAACCCCATTGAGTTTCTGAGGTGGTAAATCTTTACGGAAGTAGATTGTCCAGTCTTGCTACTGTGGAGTGGCTGGTGGGTTTGAACCACCAACCTTCTGGTTAGCAGTCAATTGCCTTAGGTACTGTGCCAAAATAAATTTTTGTTGAATGAATGTATGAAAGTATTTAGATCATACCAGTGGTCTCAAAGTGTAGTTCCTGGACCAGCAGCATTAGTATCACTTAGGAAATTGTTAGAAATGCACATTCTCTGACCCCACCCAGAAATAGTGAGGGTGGAGCCCAGGAATTTGAGTTTTAACAGCCCTCCAGCCTCAGTTGAAAATCTCTGACAGATGATAGATGGAGCCATGGAGTGGATGAGAAGATACAGGGCTGTATGTGCAATGAGGAAGAAGGGACCTTGGGCCAGAGGACATAAACACTCAAGTTAAGGTCAATGTTTGGAGCCCTGACACTTGGAGAGTTGAGAGCCTTGGCCTGAGGTTCAGCTAAGATGCTGCTCCTTGGAGAAACCTTTTTCCCCTCAACTCATGTCACCATACCTCCCCCATCTCAGCTGGCTTTGTTCCCCCCACCACTTCCATGTGAATCATATTTATTGTAATTATCTATACAGTAAGAATATCTAACAGAACTTAGAGTAATAAAAGAAATGTACTGTATCTAAGCTATCTAATACAGCATCCACTGGCCAGATATGGCTGTGGAGCACTTTAAACTTGGAGCTCTGGTAGCATAGTGGCTAAGACACTTGACTGCTAACCAGAAGGCTGGCGGTTCAAACCCACCAGCCACTCCTCGGAAGGAAGGTTGGGCAATCCTACTTCCATAGTGATACTGCCTCGGAAACCCAAGGAGGGGTCGCTATGAGTCAGGGCTGACTCGATGGCACATAACAACAACAACAACAATATGAATAAAGAACCAGATTTTAAATTTTATTTAGTTTAGGTTTAAATCACCACATGTGGCTAGTGGCCACTGTACTGGGCAAGTGTGTATACATGAATGTCACTCTAGGAGACGTGCACAGGACAACCCAGCACATTTCATCTGAGAGGGGGCAGCATCATCTATAAGCCCCTTGGGGTATCTTTAATTTGAAGACTTTTTACATTTGAATTGATCAGAAAAGAGCAGTAGCTCCCTTTCCACAAAACCCTACTGAAACATGGAGCCACAGAAGCTGAACCAGGTGGGCCTCCTCCCACAAGTCTATATGTGCTGGTGGAAGGACTTTGCCTTTTCTCTTTGCACTTTTGGGAGGCTCAAAACATGCTCAGTGGTTGAATTAAAAGCATATGAGTGCAATATGCTAAAAGCAAGTGACCAACACAATCACGCTAAGGAAAAGAAAGAAGACACAGAAAGGTGCACAAGAAGGACAGGCAATAAGGATAAACACTTTAACATACACAAAACTGCATTATCAGTAATAACAAACAGGAAGCTAAATGGTCAGATATGTCTAGGCAAAAAGGAATATACCCATGACAAAGTTTGGCAGACCATATTTCTATACATCTATTTGTATGTACTGTAAGAATGTCCATATATATAATAGAACTAACAGGGTAAAGTTATGAAACTTCTTAGCCTCAGCCAAACACCTTGAGGGAGAGTCATTGGGTCCATAGGCTCAGGATCGTGGTTGAGGGGGGACATCAGCTCAATTGGTATAACATAACTACACAAAAACATTGTTTTACATCCTACTTTGGTGAGCACCACCTGGGGTCTTAAAAGCTTGCAAGTAGCCATCTAGATGCAACAATGGGTCTCTCCTTGTTCAGTACAAAGAAGAATGAGGAAAACCAGATGGTGCCCAGCTACCACTGTCAAGCAGTTGAAAGGGTTCAACTTATGAGGTCCTGGATAAAGTGGGAGAAAAATGTGGAATAAAATTCAAAATTACAAAAGACAAGCCTTACTGGTCTGATAGAGCCTGGTGAAACCCCAGAGACTATGGCCCCCAATGACCCTTCAGGCCTGGAATTGAACTCACTTTGGTAGCTTCCAGCCAAATAATAGACAGGTGTGTGAGGTGAACATTTATACCAGGTACATTCCTTAGAGCAATCAACTGTGGGAGACCAGAAGGGCAGTATTTGAACAGAGAGATAGCTCAGAGGACAGGAAGGCATAGGGAAAGAGTAACAAGAGGGAGGGAATGGGAAGAGATCTGTTACATTATAGGGATTGCAGCCAATGTCATGAAATAAAATGTTATGAACTGTTGTATAGAAAATGAATTTGCTCTGTAAACTTTCACCCAAATCACAATTAAAAAAAAAAAAAAAAAAAAAGCATATGGATGCTTGACTGGAGCTACATGCTAAAAGTGGACTAGATCTTAACAGATCCATTTTGTTGCTCAGCAAAAAACACAGAACACTTCCCTTGCTTCTGTGTGAGTGACCAGGTTAGGGGAGGAGACACATATCCTTGAGCTGGCCCAGCTTTAGCACAGCTCCACCTAGCCGGCTGCTAGCTTTCCCCAAGGCCCATTGACCCACTTCCTGCCCAATAAGGAACCAAAGAGCAGAGGGACTTGGAAGGATTCCAGTAAGTCAAGCCAACATCTGGCTGAGAGAGTGGGGAACAATGTCACAGTTCAGTGGGTGCTGAGTGTCACTGCTCCCAGGTCCACCAGATGTGCCACCAGAAAGTGGGACTTGCTTTTTCCGTTGCTTTTTCTTCTTCTTCTTCTATTTTTTTTTTTTTTTGGCTTTAACAAACAGATATTTATTCTCACAGTTTAGGAGGCTAAAAGTCCAAATCCAGGTCACCAGCTCTAGGGGAAGAATTTTTCTCTCCATCAGTTCTGGGGTATGGTCCCTGTTTCCGTTCAATATCTCTGGGTCCAGCATCCCTTGGAGATCTCTATGTGTCTTGGCATCAATCTTCCCCTGGGTCTAGGTAGTTCTCTGCAGGGATCCCAAGTCCAAAGAATGTCTCTGCTCCTGGCTCTAAAAAGAGTGGTACTGAGGTCCCTCTGTCTCTGCTTACTTCTTTCTTCTATTATCTCTCTTAAGATAAAAGATGATATAGGCCATACCCTAGGGAAACTCCCCTTACATCAGAACTGTGACCTGGGTAAGGGTGTTGCATCCCATTCTAATTTCCTTGCAACTGATTGGCTAATCACATCAGATCATATCATGGGAGATGATTACATAACTGCCAAACTACTGAGAATCATGGCCCAGCCAAGTTGCCACATATTTTTGGACACACAATTAAATCCATGACACTGTACCAGGAGCGAGGCCTTCAAAGCCCTTTCTTTTTATATTGTATGGTCCTTGCTTTTTGTATTCTGTGCATTGCACAGAATCTGGAGACAGACTTTGCTGAGGCCTTGGTGAAATGGTGTAATGAATTAAAAATGGTAGTAAGTTCTTTGACACTCTTTCCATTGAGGGTGGGGCAGGATTCACTGTCTTTTCCTCTTGACTGTGGGCTGGACATAGTGGTTTTCTTGCCATTAGAATATGATGGAAAAGACCATATTCTGGAACTTCTGATGCTAGATTAAAACACTTTGCAACTTCTGCCTAGGCCTCTGGAAATTCTTGTTCTTGGAGCTCTGAGCCATCACTAAGTCCTGCTACCCTGAGTCTGCCTTGCTGGAGAGAACATGGGAGAGACCTTAAGGAGTGTCCTGAGTCTGCAATATGAGAGATGCTCTGCTGGTCCCCAGCTGACCCCACCCCCAGCCATTTGAAGCATGAAACCCAGACATTATAGAGCAGAGATAAGTGGTGCCCCCAATCCCTGCCTGAAACACAGATTTGTGAGCAAAAGAAAGGCTCATTGTTGTTTTAACCTATTCTGTTATAGATGACTGGAGCAGGTGGAAAAGGCAGCCCTGAGGCTTGGGCACTGGCAATGACAGTGGCTGCCCACCCTCAACTCTGCAGCTACCAAAGGACTTGGAGCAGCAGCCTGAAAGAACCAGGCATGGGTACAAATAGAACTTGGATGGGCTCTGGGATCATTCAACTGTTCCAACTCTGTTGGCCAGTGGTCCCTGAGTCCTCATGT